TATTAATCTTAATAGCAAGTCGTGAAACAGCCACAAAAGGATTTGTATTTTACTACTATAATGCAGTGATTTTGTAGTTTTGTATATTATAATAAAGAATAGTTTGTAAAATATAGGCTTTTTTGTGTGTGCAATGAATAATTCACTAACACTATAGTGCCATTTAACTTTACAACTCAGCAGTTTGTGTAAGGAAGTAGTGCCAGCTTTGTTTTTGAATATTTATGATCTATGACTATGAAATTATAAAATATGTATTAATCGAAATGGAATACAAAAGGATTTGCTTTTGTTTCTCCAAACTTTACTATAATGCAGTGATTTTGAATTCTAGTAGTATCTATCTAGTATATAATAAGTATAGTGTGTAAAATATAGGGCCTAGTCTTTTTCTTCTTCTTCTTTTTTTTTTTTTTTTTTTTTTTTTTTTTTGCAGAATGGATAGTTTTGCAACATTTTTAAAGATGGAAAACTTCTTGTATCTCAATAGTTCTCTTTTTTGTAAAATATTTTTACCTCATCATTATTTCATTGGTAAGAAATGTCCAATTACCTATAATGGAGATGTTACCAACAGTGACACATAAAAACAATATATTTTTCTTATCTCTAGTTAATATCAGCTCTTCTGCCACATTATGTGATTCTGCAAGCAAAGTGAAATAAAATTAAATTGCATTACCATGTAAATTGGTTTGAGAAACTGAATCATTGATTAGTGTTGAGAATTCCTATGGATCACATGACATAGGAGCTAAGTCTCCTCAGGTGCACTTAATGAGTGATAAGGTACTATTGTTTGGTGTGTTGCACATGCAATGGAAACATAGTTTGTCCTTCCTTTCTCTCCTAATGAGAGCCTTTGAAGAGTTTATGTGTTCCTGACAATGTAAGTTTGTTTGCTTTGTTTTATTAGTTAATTCCTGAGATTCTGTTTGTCTAATTCTGAAATGTGTTATGTGATTGATTCTTTTGTTTCTGATTATTTTGATGTAGGATTGCATTATGTGATAAAGGATTTATTAGTTGAAGTTCTATGGTGTTATTTAAGATTCTGTTTTTTGGGTTTTTTTTTTTTTTTTATAGAAACCATACAACTCTATCTGATTCCAGTTCACCCTGTGGCCTTTTCAATAAATGATTATGGATTGAGTATTGGATCCCTGTGTTTTAATGGACACACCATCCTGGTAGCACATTTCCTGAACTAAAGTTTTTATCAGAAATGTACACTGAGGATTTCGAGTATTCGTCTAGGGATTCACTGAACAGTATTGTTTCAGATTGTTACATGGTTAAAAAGCACACGTCTTAGTAACCATGTCAAATTCCAGTGTTGTGATCATATAAGATAAATGTGGTCTGACTCCTGTTTTAATGAAATTCTGCATCACTTTGGCCTCACTAATACACACAACATGCTTTCTTACTCACTGAAGCTCACAAGAATACACAGATAGATTGAGCTGCATTAGCAAACAAACTCAGCACTGAGGTACACGACACGTGCCACGTATTAGAAATGTCTAACACACTATTTACGGTAGGCTACACCGTCCATATTCTTCACAGCATGCAAAAAGTAGCCATAATGCAAGTAGCCATTAGTTACTGTGCAAAACTGACTTTAAAATGTTGAACAGATGTCAGGAAGACAAGACCAATCATCATGTGAATAGAATCACTGTGCGAGTCAATGGGGAACTTTCATCTTTAGTTCTTAATAATAAAAAAAAGCCATTCTCTTCAAAGCAAAGTTTGAATGATGTTTGTATTTTAAAAGGGCTAAACGAACTGTCTTAGGCAGGAATAGCCTATCTCTGAGCTGTAGGGTTAAAGTAGAGCAGCTGATGTTAGTGTAAACTCTCAGGTCGCTTGAAGACTCCAAAGAAAACACACCTACTAAGAAATCGATACAGGCTGGCCCCAGTCCTCCAGTTTACTTCGGTCACACTTGATTGAGATTTTTTAAAATAACTAATTTAACTTTTCGATATGCCATTTTTTTTTTTATTGCATTTACTTTTAACCAGGTGATATCAAGGGAAGTTTTAGTGAGGTATAATGTCAGATGCCCTCAAGTTTATTTGGTTGCTAAAAGTGCCTCTTCATTTTGAACACAATATCCATTTGGTCATTCCATTTGAAATTCTTGCTTGAAAAATGTGATTGTTATATTTTTTTTTTTCATAATTTAGTTCCCAACATATTTTTTCCAATCTTACGTCACATCTGCAGCCCCTTCATCAGCCTCAAACCAGAGTTTTTTTGAATGAACCATATAGGCTAAATATAGACATCATAACACAGAAAGTAGAAAAGTATGTTGCATAACATGTTACTCCTTAAACAGCGTTCATTTTATAAGTCATTCTTTATGTCGAAGGTTCAACAAAACAAATCACTGGAACCTGCTTTAATAACACCTTATGCAATGACCGTGTGGTGCAGCGCCATCGTGTGTTTCAGCGCGGAACTGCAGCTGTTATCAGGAAAAGGATATGGCCATAATTCAGTGTTCTCCTTTTATTCTGTATTTTTACTTCAAATCAGAACTTGGGGAAAATCTTGTCATTACAAAAAGCACTTTTTGTTGCTTTGACTTGACATTCTGCCTACAACATATTCATAACATAAAAATAAGAGCATTTGTTTAACTTTAAAACATTTTTATTACAAACATCTAACATTTTTGATTATGCAATAAATAAAGTGGCATTCACATTAAAGGCATCAGACAAGGGACTTCAACTAATCCTCTGAATTTTTCCGTGTGGGATCCAATTTTGTGCCTTCATAAATGACTTTATTCTTCATGCCGTCCTGAATGATTCTCTGCTGAACACGCAGCTTGGCGTTATTATATCTACAGTAGAACCTGTAAAATACATGAGATAAACAGCTGATCCTCCTGATTATATAGCATTTTTCAACACAATTAATGATAATTTCCCCCATTCTGATGCACATTTTCATATTTATATTTCTGTAATGGACAAAAAAAAGCACCCTTTTTTTATTTGACTTGATTGGTAATATGTTGATTAAAATATATGCGTATTAACCTGTACTTGTACAGTATTAAGAACCTTTTTATAGTTTCAATGCCAGTTTTTGAGACACGCACCATGAGCCCAGAGTCGTAAGCATGAATCCTGCGACACCCACATCAAATGACCTCTTCACTCGACCTGTGAACGACAAGTCGAGCATTATATTAAAGACATAAAACATTATAACAATACTGAGGATCAACAGAATCATGCTCTTACTTGTTGCCAAAAAGTGCAGCAGTCCTGTGACTAGTGAAGCGCCGGCTCCGTGTAGAAGAGATTCCCGAGCACACGGCGTATTCTGGATGTCAAGGATCCCCATCACCTTCAGCCCCTGTGTGTGTTATAATAATGTTAGGGTCCAACTAATGACTGAACACTCTAGCCTACTCATTTATTTGTATAAAATGCCTCTGATTATAAAAATACAGTGTACATCTTTGCCACTTATTCACTAATCTCTTCTGGGTTTGGTGAATAAATATTAATGACAAAAATACCATGGTACTTTTTTGTGCTAGATAACAAGGTGAAAGCAACCATAACAATGTAGGCTCAAAGGCATAAGGCTCAATGTCCTGCATCCATACCCTAACCATGATTTTACTGCATAAAAATAAATAAAACATGGTTATTATTGTAGTTAAACCATGGTAACCACAAATTAACCCCGTTCACCCCAGTTTAACCATGGTATTTTTTGTAAAACAAATGGTATTGGTTATACAACTGGTAATCAATCCGCCAACAAATCATAGTTAATACACTTTACTATATTTTCCAAGGGTATTTCGTGGCCAGAGTATTATATGACCGTGTCTTATAAACAACAGCGTAACTTAATATCTCACTACAATTATTGAATAAAATTACACTCACTTTGCTCTTACCGTCCTCCTCGGTCATTTTCGAGATGAATTTTCATTCAACCAAGTTCATCTACGTTATGAAATGATGATAACCCATTACTTTTGCGGTGCGCCGAAAAATCCTTCCTGACGGAACACTTAAGCTGGCTACAGTTGGTTCCGGTGTTTAGAGGTGTTACAGCAAGCACGTAGGCCTAATTAGCAAAATGTAAAATAAAATAAGATTCCACTTCCAGTGTTGATATATTTAAATAAATAGGCTACTGAATGCACAACAGAGAAAAATAACTATTTGCTGCTTTTGCTGACAGAAATCGTAGCCTATAGCTAGGCAATAAGTTTTAGTTTTTAATCATATGAAGGCTAAATGAGATGTTTCATCTTCTTTAAATGTTGTTGTCAAATGACAATCTCTGCCATGTCGTACAAAACAACACATAACAAGATGATACAAATTTATAGTTTGGAGTCATATGGGAATTCAGTTTCCCCTGATCCTTTGAAAGTTGCTAACTTGCTATTCAGCAGCTAGGCTGACAACTATCATGTTCACTGCAGTAAACAATACATTGCAGAGCAAAGGGACAAAGCCATTACAATTCTGTAGATTATATTATGAAATTCAAACAATGAATGTGTGCTCTTTAATGTGTAATCGTGACATGATCGCTGTAGCACGTGAACCATTTACTATAGCACAAAATAAACATGAATGAACAATGGGATATCATGTTGAAAAATACAGTAGGCCTACAACTTACTGAAATGTAGCCTATGTAATCACACAATCAGTGTTTTAACCACAAAAATATGTCAATAAAACAGCTTGTAAACAATATCATGTAGTGTTAATTAGGCTACATTTTCCACATGCCATTCAATGACCATACACTTTAGCTAGAAAAAAGGACTCTACAGAGAATACTTTTACTAAAAAATATTCATTATATTATATTTTGTTTACTCTTAGGCCTATTAAAAAAATCATTATATGCAAATATAATCATCCACATTGTATCTTTGGTGGACTTAAAAGCTCATTTAGTGATTAGTAATGCCTCGGTGTTCTACAGAACGATTTAGAAGGTATTTTACTCCGAATGCAGTTAGGCTTTTTTAATGAAATCGTGTAATTTCTTGCATTGATTGTTGTTGTTTTTTAATGTTTGTTTGTCTGTGGTGTCTGCAATAGTGGCGAATGAGTGTCCCCATACAGGGATTAATAAAGTTTTCTAACTAACATAAAGTTTTCTAACTAATATTAATTTTAACTTTAATATTATAATGGACCAACATGTAGCTGTCCCTGATATATATCCAAATGAATTGATTTCGGATCAATCTGAATCTACAATTCAAATCCTAATAAAAACACAAAGATCTTTCCCCAAATATACTTTCATCAAATATTTCTTAATGGTAGGCCTACTTTATTATTATTATTATTATTTTAGAAGAACAAAATCTAAAGAACCTTTTTTCCAACCTGAAAAAGGTTCCAAATATTCTTTATTTTATATTCAAAGAACTTTATTTTTAAAAGTGTATATGTTGTCAAATAGAGTGTTTTTTTAGTGCCTTGCGAACACTATAACAGTGTTGGGCCTCAGACCTTGATCATTTCCTGACCCTGGACCTGTGTTTAACATGGAGGCCATGGGATCGAATTTAGCTCCACGGAAATGATGTTAGATGAGATATGAAACGGTCCAAACTGACACTGAATGCACAGCAGGTGTGTTTTATCTTTCTGACCTGACAAACTGAAAGAGTCGTGGAAACACATAATCCACTTGAGATCAGTGCGATTAATTTAAGGTCAGATTTTAGTTTAATCGTCGGTCACTTGGTTTCAGTGTCCTATATAAATCTATCCAGATGATCTGAACACACAGAGTCTCTTAAGACAGCCCGCTGAGCAACACACACACACCTGTCAAGTAAGTCTAATACATTATTAATAGGCTATACAGTAATATTGTGAATGTTTCAAAGGCGCTTCAATGAAATTGCTTTCCTTCCAGGATGTTAGCCGTCCGAAACGACATCCTCCTCCTCTTATTCTGTTCAGTTGTGGTCGTTGCTCAAAGCTCCTTTCTTCCTCCATGTGAGCCAATCAACGAGACCGTCTCTGTGGAGAAAGAGGGCTGTCCGAAGTGCCTGGTGTTTCAGACCAGCATCTGCAGCGGACACTGCCTAACTAAGGTGCTCTTTCTGCTCTATGTGCATGGGAACCATTTTTAGCAACTTATATTAATATACACTGCTGTTATTTTTAAGATTTTTTATGTTTTTAAAAGAGGTCTCTTCTGCCCACCGAAAATACTGCATTTATTTGATAAAAAAAATGCAAAAACAGTAATATTGTGAAATTAACTGTTTTCTATGTGAATATACAATAGAGTGTAATTTATTCCTGTGATCAAAGCTGAATGTTCAACATCATTACTCCAGTCTTCAGTGTCACATGATCCTTCAGAAATCACTCTAACAGGATGATTTGAAGCTCAAGAAACATTTGTGATGATTATTAATGTTGAAAACAGTTTTTTTTTACATTTTTATTTCAGGATTCTTTGATGAATAGAAAGTTCAAAGGAACAATTTCTCTGAAATAGAAATTTAAAGAAGTCTCTTCTGCTCACCAAGGCTACATTTATTGATTTACAAAAAACAAACAAACAAGCAAACGAAAAAAAAACAAAAAAAACAGGAATATTGTTAAATATTACTAAATAAACTCTTTTCTGTGTGAATATATTTAAAACTGTAATTTATTCCTATGATCAAAGCTTAATTTTCAGCATCATTACCCCAGTGTCACATGACCCTTCAGAAATCACTCTAATATGTGGATATGATGCTCAAAAACATTCATTATTATTATTAATGTTGAAAAGAGTTCTGGACAATTTTTTCAGGGATTCTTTGATGAATAGAAAGTGAAAAGAACAGCATTTATCTGAAATACAATCTTTTGTAACATTATAAATGTCTTTACTGTAACTTTTCATCAATTGAATTAATTCTTAATGAATAAAATTGATTTCTTTTAGTTCTTTCCAGCAACAAAATAAAATAAAAATTCGTACTGACCTTGCGTTTAATGTTAATTTCTATTTCAGAGAAATTCTGTTTTTTTTTTTAACTTTCTATTCATCAAAGAATACTGAAATAAAAATGTAAAAAACTGTTTTCAACATTGGCGATAATCATTAATGTTACTTGAGCTTCAGAACGTCATATTAGACTGATTTCTGTAGGATCATGTGACACTGGAGTAATGCTGATGAACATTCAGCTTTGATCACAGGAGTGAATTACACTATATTCACACTGAAGACAGCTGTTTTAAATTGTAACAATATTTCACAATATTAATGTTTTTGCATTTTTAATCAAATAAATTCAGTCTTGGTGAGCAGAAGAGACTTAAAAATAGAAAATCTTACCAACTCACACACATTATAAAAAATATTGTTGGTTTAACTTAAAAAAATAAGTAACCTGGCTGCCTTAAAAAGTTGAGTTAATTGAAATGGAAAAATTGAGTTAATACAATGAAGGAGATTGATTTAATCATCAGAAACTCAAAATATTGTGTTATCCGAACTATATAAGTTATTTAATTTGATTTGACAAAAAAAAAAAAATGTTGTGATTACAAATCATGAAAACATTTTTTTTCACAGTGTACAAGTATCCATATTTCCAGTGGTGAAGTACTAGTGTATTATCTTGTTTCTAGGAGCCTGTATACAAGAGCCCGTTCTCCAATGTCTACCAACACGTGTGCACTTACCGGGACGTCCGCTACGAGACGGTGCGGCTGCCGGACTGCCCCCCCGGGGTGGACCCGCACATCACCTACCCGGTGGCCCTCAGCTGCGACTGCAGTCTCTGCACCATGGACACGTCCGACTGCACCATCGAGAGCCTGCAGCCCGACTTCTGCATGTCTCAGAGAGAGCACTTCCCTTCATACTAGCCGATGTCCTGCTGACTTCAGGCCAGGGGTACATCCCAAACTCACACTCCAAATCAGACAAATGTTGTGGAGATGTCGCCTATTAAAAAGTACATGCGTCATTGGCTACTTCAATGTTATATGGACGCTTGTTTCCGCCACAGAATAAAACATAAACAAGTTTTTCTCACACTTTTTTTTTCTCTCAGAATTGCGTGTTGTAACGGCAGAATTGTGAGATAGCTCTAAACTCGAAATTGCGAGTTAAAGGCAGGGTATTTCTAAAACACTTTTTCCCAAATGTGCTTAAACTGTCTATATACCAATACATATTTAAAATGTAAGTACTCTGAAAGGGAGACTATACGAATCGAGTGTCTGTAGTCGTCTCAGGACTGTAATAACACAGTTACTCTTTCCATTCGGAACGAATGCAATGGTTGGCTAGGCGACTGTCACTACCATGGCTACCACCCCTGTCACTCTTCCTTGCTACCATGGCAACCACCCCTGTCACTCTCCTTCACTACCATGGCAACCACCCCTGTCACTTTCCCTCGCTACCATGGCAACCACCCCTGTCACTCTCCTTCGCTACCATGGCAACCACCCCTGTCACTCTCCTTCGCTACCATGGCAACCACCCTGTCACTCTCCTTCACTACCATGGCAACCACCCCTGTCACTCTCCTTCACTACCATGGCAACCACCCCTGTCACTCTCCTTCACTACCATGGCAACCACCCCTGTCACTCTCCGTCGCTACCATGGCAACCACCCCTGTCACTCTCCTTCACTACCATGGGAACCACCCCTGTCACTCTCCTTCGCTACCATGGCAACCACCCCTGTCACTCTTCTTCACTACCATGGCAACCACCCCTGTCACTCTCCTTCACTACCATGGCAACCACCCCTGTCACTCTCCTTCACTACCATGGCAACCACCCCTGTCACTCTCCTTCGCTACCATGGCAACCACCCCTGTCACTCTCCTTCACTACCATGGCAACCACCCCTGTCACTCTCCTTCGCTACCATGGCTACCAGCCCTGTCACTCCCCCTTGCTACCATGGCAACCCTTGTCACTCTCCCTCTCTACCATGGCAACCCCTGTCACTCTTCCTCGCTACCATGGCAACCACCCCTGTCACTTCTCCGTCGCTACCATGGCTACCACCCGTCACTCTCCCTCACTACCATGGCAACCACCCCTGTCACTCTTTTCGAGGAATTGCCATTCCATAAAGTCGCAATTGCGGCACATAAATTCACAATTCTGACTTTATAACACGCAATTCTGAGAAATAAAGTCAGAATATGTTTTATTCTGTGGCAGAAACAAGCTTCCATAATATTCTATGCTAAAGTCAAACCAATTTTATTGTGTGTATAATCTGAAGGAGCAGTTGGCAGGGATATTGAAACTAAAAAGGTTGTAAGTTATCATTGGAAAATCATCAGCCAATGACCAGAGAGAAGAACAAAAGTTGGGTTTAAATGATACACACATGTACAATAGGATGAAAATCCTGCAAATGAACTATTGACTGAAGCTTAATGAAAAAAAAAAAATGTGTATTTGACTACAGTATGTCTCCACCATGATAAATTACAATAAAACTGCAGCCCTTTTTCACTTGAAATATAAAGAGAAACTAAATACATTAAATTAAACCATTCATAAGAAATGCCTTATGCATTCAGCTGGCAAAAGGAATTGCTCTCCGTTCAGAAATGAACATATATTCTGACTTAATAAAATATTTTGCAAACACATAGTACTCTATAACAAAGATGATTTACCAGTATTGCATTTATTTTTGAAAGCATGAAAAGAACTTATCTTTTTCATCATCCGTGAGACACTTTATATAAAATTGTCTGCTAATCGAACGCATGTAATTAATCAAATATTAGATCTTCTACTGATTTCCCTTAAGCACAGCAGACAGGATTACCATGTAGCTCAGAGTAAACGAGACACAATGTAACAGTAAAGACTGTGTGGACTGCGGCAATAATGATTCACAGCCAGAAGATGGCAGCAAAGATCAATATTGGGAAAATTATGAAATAAAACGTAAACTTGCAGTCATTTTGTGGAAATACTGTTATGCTATTCCATAAAATCTTGATACAGTGATGTTGTAATGGCATGACAAGTTAAAGGTACGGTAGCAGTTTACCATGAGGAATGACACACAATAAATGTACAATAAATGAATAAATGTAACATTATCAGTGACTGATTTGGAACTCTACAACAATAGCATTTGGTGTTAGTATAATGTGATATTATAAACATAAATTATGTACAATAAAAACAGGTCCATTTTGAATAGACTGAGCAATTGTTATTGATAATTTTCAGAACTGACTTAATTCTACAAGCAATATTTCTCATTGCAATGCATTGTGGAATTCTCTGAAGTATAATGAAACGACACAAATTATTTTCCATAAAAAGGAATCATTTCACGTCGCTTTTTCACTCTAAACAATGCTGGGCTGTTTTAACTCAAATTTGGGTAAAATATGGACAAATCCAAATGTTGGGTTAAAAATGTAATTTCAAAGGTTTATACAACTTCAACTTTCAGATTCAACTGTACATTTTTAATTACATTTTTAACCCAACCTTTTGGATTGCCCATATTTGACCCAATTTTGATTGAAACAACCCAATATTTTTAGAGTGTTGTCAGACTTTCTTAAAGGAGTAGTTCACTTTTAAAAAAACTTTTGCTGATAATTTACTCACTCCCACGTCATCCAAAATGTCCGTGTCTTTCTTTCTTCAGTCGAAAAGAAATTAAGGTTTTTGATGAAAACATTCCAGCATTTTTCTCCATATAATGGACTTCAATGGGAACCAAACGGTTCAAGGTCCAAAAGACAGTTTCAGTACAAACGGCAAACTGTTCAAAGGGCTTTAAACGATTTCAGACGATTTCTTTTGTGTCCCAAAAGAAAAAGTGATTCTGAACTGACTGAAACGAGTCGTCAGTAATTAAGTAAGTCTTCCTGTTTCATACCTGTGTAACAATGTAACACATTTGCATAATGCCAGTCTATGGTCGTTAATCAAATTCACCTCGATGCACTTTCAAAGAATGAGATTGATACGGTAAACCCAACCTGATCTCACGGCAATTCAAATGAATTTTACGAGGTGGCTAATTCGTACGAATTCATACGACCTCACTCGTACGATTTTTGCTAATTCATATTTTACGAGTTACCAAATTCGTATGAACTTGTACGAATGACCCACCCTTGACCCCGCCCCCAAACCACCCATCACGTGGGTTTAGACAAATACCGTCGTACAAATTAGGCACTTTTTAATCACTCGTACGAATTGATCGTGAGATAGCGTTGGGTAAATCCGACACCATCGTTACTGTTTGTATTACTGTGCATCAAGTGCGGAGGAAAGTAGCTGAAGTTTGGTTTCTGAAATGCAATGTCAGCAATCGACCAATCACAACAGACTGGGCCTTCTGACCATTCAGAGCAGAGTCGGCTCTCGGAAAGGAGGAGTTTAGAGATGAACCGTTTCAGAGTCTGAGAGAAAAGAGCTTATGCTATAATGTACTGTATATGATGAGAATAAACGCATTCTCATCCTAGGGCGTCATATAGTAACGCTTTTGACAATGCGTATACATCCAATGCACATGGCACCCTTTAGCGTCAATATGACACACTTCGGTTATGGGTAGGTTTAGGTCTGGGGTAGGTTTACGGTTACACCACTAGGAGGCGCCTTCTGGCCTATATATATCTGCGTCTCATATTGACGCTAAAGGGTGCCATGTGTGTTGGATGTAGACGCACTGGCAAAAGGGTCAGTATATGACGCCTTGGGATGAGAACGGGCTGTGTAAACCTTAACTTTAAACTTTTAAAATAGCATAATAGGGCACTTTAAGTAGCTAGATTTTGCTGTTTACATGTATATAAGAACGAAGAATGAAACTGTCAAGCAGCCCTGTCAAGCCGATCCTTATTGCAGAGCTGTTTTAGCCTATACTGCACTGATACACGTTATTACTTGAGCTTACACTCTCAGAAAAAAAGGTACAAAAGCTGTCACTGGGGCTGTACCTTTTCAAAAGGTACACTTTTGTACCCAAAGGCTGCATATTGGTTCCTTAGTGGTACATATTATCACCTAAAATGTACATATTAGCACCTGAAATTTACATATTAGCACCTACAATGTGCATATTTACACCTAAAATGTCCATATTACCACCTAAAATGTACGTGTTAGCACCTGAAATGTACATATTACTACCTAAAATGTACATATTAGGACCTGAAATGGACATATTAGCACCTGTAATGTACATATTAGCACCTAAAATGGACAAAAGTTTACCTTTTGAAAAGGTACAGCCCCAGTGACAGCTTTTGTACCTTTTTTTCTGAGAGTGTGTAATGAATCAATTTGGGAACATGAGGGAAATTACTTTAATATTATAAAAAAATGCTTCTGTATTATTCACTAATCAGTACTCAGGGGTAAAACACCTATTATGCTGTTTCTCTACTTCTCAGAGCAAGACATTCATTTCATATCCTCTGCATATTCCCAACACACCCAGACAGCAAACTGACATTGAATCAACGTGGAAACGACGTCTCTCATTTCATTGAAACAACGTTGATTTTGCTCATCGAATTAACGTTGAACCAACGTCAGACGCGGCATTCTTCAAAGCTAAATGAAAATCGAAAATTGGTTTGCTTTCATAACGTTGAAACAACGCGTTGATTTCAAGTTGATTTTCCGTTAGTTTTGAAAGAATGACGCATCTGACGTTGGTTCAACGTTAATTCGATGAGCAAAACAATGTCAGATCAACGTTGTTTCGATGTCATGTTTCTACGTTGATTCAATGTCAGTTTGCTATCATGCATTGCAGGGAATGCATGACAAAATCGTACAAGTTATTGCTTAGCTTCAACAACACTAGTCTGTTTCTTGGTCTCGGTCTTGGTCTCAACTTGGTC